AAATGCAGAAAAATAAAATAGAGGAGCAGAAGGCAAAGAAGACGAAGAAGAGTGCAATGAAAGCGGGAGCAGCTTAAATGATGTTGACGATATTGAGAGAGAACATCACGAAACTATTGATATGTATGGAGTTACACCCCAGGAGTGTGTTGCAAAAATTTTGTGCGTGTTGGATGACGATGAGTTTGAAATACAATATCTAAAAAGCTTAGATCAGACTGATTGTAAGACACATTTCAAAGTTTTAGACAATGGCAAATGTGCCATTACAAACGAAGAAATCCTTGGAACGCTTCCAGAACTCGAACTGAAAAATGTTGGTCGAAAGATGACGATTGTTTTCCGCAGTGCTGTAGACGTATTTGAAAAACAATAAATGTATTCATCTCCTTAACTTTTGTTGTATCTATGTGCCTAATAAAATCTAAAAATTGTACTTTATTGCGGTTGATTTCTACGCAAACAAATTATGGTGGCCATAAGTGGAAACTTTTATGGCCAAAACAGCGGTTTTGGTGGCCATAAATGGAGAAATTGATTTACTTTTGAAAATTATTTATTTGTATTTTAAAATACCTGTTACACAAATAAAATGGAAGGTTGTTGCTTTTTTCTCACATGTATTCCAATTTTTAACTAAGATACCGAATTTTAAAAGTTGAAGACTACTAAATGTGGCCATAACTGGTTCCTCTACTCTATATATACATATAAAAATATAAGAAAACTTCTTGCTTATATTTTAAACATTTCTTGGAACCGGTTTCGACACATAAAGGTCATCATCAGCCAAAATCTTTGCAAGCGGAAAATAAAAAATAAAATCACATCAAAATCTAATTTCGTTATAAAAATTATATAACTTACGTCATAAATGAAGAAAATGTTAACGTTGAATTTTATAAAAATAACACATTTGAATATTAAATTTAAATAAATAAACTATGGTAAAATGTTAAAATTAAATAAATACAACACACAGGATTATTCTATAAATTACATGAAATGCGTGCTCCCTTACATTTAATAAGAATAGTAGAAAACTTTTTGATTGACAGGCAAACAAGAGTTAGGATCAATGGTTCATTATCTAAATCGTTTACTCCATTACAAGGTGTTCCACAAGGTTCGCCAATCTCACCTTTCCTGTATAACATCTATTGTGCAGATATTGTCCAGCCGATAAAGAAATAGTACTAGATCAATACATACTACAGTTTGCCGATGACACTGTCCTAGTATCACACGACAAAAACCTAGGAAAAACGATCAACAAGCTCCAAAATATGTGTAATATTATGATTAAATGGTTTTATAAATGAAGACTTAATCCAAACCCAACTAAATTTCAATTATTTATTCCACATCACAGAACAGTGGAAACGTCTCCAATTATCAAGATGGATACGGTTGACATAAAACCATTACAGAACGTTAAGTACCTAGGAATGAACATCGACTCCAAATTAAACATGATTGCACACTACAGGAAGGTACAGGCGGAAATGTCTAAACGGGCGAAATATTTTAGATCTCTAAGTTATAAAGAAAAAGGTATAAACACGAAGACAGCGATGCAAATATATAAGAACATATGTAGACCAATCGAATATGACAATATTGTATCAATGAATCCATCCAGAAAAACGGGAGACATAATTGACAAAGCGGAAAGAAAATGCTTGAGGATTATCTCTAAGATTAGACACCCAAATAACCCATTGCACAACGTAAGAAACAAGACCCTATACGAAATGACTGGTATTGAACCTATAACACTAAGACTAGACAGACTACGGACGAAATTTTTAGACAACAGAAACAATTATGAAAAAATACATAAATTATGTTTAAAGAGACAAGCAGCACAGATGGAAGTTGATCAGAGGAAGACAATATCGGAACTTTTTCATAAATACTTAGCTGATAATGAATAATAATATTGTTAACATTTTTTGTTGTAATTATAGCCAGCGGAAAGACCATTAGGTCGATAGCTGAAATAAAGATTTATTTCTCTCTACAACACACAATAATAGAAATTTTGCAATGAAAGTAAATACACCACCCGAATAAAACTCGGGTGACTTATTTTATTTGTTTAGATTTTCTTTTCTTGCTTTTTGATAAGAAGGAGTATAAAGTGTCAACTTGATTGTTGAGAAGATTTATTTTTTTATTTCTCCTATGATTATCGATTTCAAATGTTTCCAAAAGATCCAGTTTAAACCCTTTCGTGTTATCGAAGTCGATAATATGACCAATTAATTGACTGCGTTTGAATATGTTAGAATTCATCGTTGTTTTATGTTCCTGTAATCTTAAATCAAATCTACGACCTGTTTGCCCAATATACAGGTGTCCGCTGAGGTATCCGAGAAACTTTGTATATGAATTCTATAATTAATTTTAAGCACAAATGATTCTATTCACTTTTCTCGAATTCCAAACGGTTGTTGAGATATCGAGGTTAGAAGTTGACAGATCGTATGAATAGGATGCTAAACAGTACAACACATTGCTAGGTTGGCTATGGAAAAATTGCGGTTTATTTTAATAAAAGCTTAATGACACTGCAATTATTAAAGCTGCTCAATGTGACCACCGCCTTGTGCAATGCATAATTCAATCCTTTGTCGGAGCTCTTGTTTCCAGTTGTAGTTCTCCATATTGTTTTTTACCTCTCGAAACGCTGCATGAATGTTTTGTATAAGTTGGTCTCTATTATTAGGCTTTCCCGTTGAATACGTAAGTGTCTTCACATGTCCCCACATGAAAAAATCTAGTGGGGTGAGATCCGGAGATCGCGGTGGCCAAGCAATGGGACCACCACGTCCTATACATCGATTTGGATACTGTTCATTAAGGAAATTCGTGACAATTCTTGCATAATGGGCGGGAGCACCATCATGTAAAAAGAACATTGTTCTTCTAATTTGAATAGGAATGTCCTCAAGTAATAGAGGTAGATCGTTCTCCAAAAAAGCCTGGTACATTTCGCTGTTCAAATTTCCGTCGAAAAAATGCGGTCCAATAACAACATTATTAATTATTCCAGCCCAAACGTTTACGGAGAATCTACTCTGGAAATGGGTTTCTCGAACAGCATGAGGGTTTTCGAATCTCCACACATGTTCGTTATGAAAATTGTTGATTCCATCTCTAGTAAATGTAGCTTCGTCACAAAAAAGAGTTCTTGAAAGAGTATCCAGATGATTTCTCCGCCATTCACAAAGGCGAACTCTTTGGGGAAGATCCTCGGGAAGAAGTTGATGTACTGGTTGGTAATGATGAGTCCGTTTTCCCGCAAAGTGTCATGCACAGCCGTCCTAGCTTGTCCAGTAAGTACAGAAATTCTTCTCGTACTAGTACCATCATCATTTTCAACAGCCTCAAGCACTTCTGCAGCATTGTTTCTTCGCCTAATTTCTCTTTCACAAGTTGATTTAGGGAATGCACTTCTTAATCGAAGAGTTGTGAAGACTCTACCGAAGGTTTGCTTGTGGCGGTTTGGGTATCGTCGTTGATATTCCCTAACTGAGGCGGTGGTACTACCGTTGCAATATCCATACACGAAAACCATGTCCGCATACTCTTCATGTGGATAAGTTGTAGGCATGATTTTAGCACAATTGATAACAATGATGACAATTAATGACCTGAATGTCAACAATTTTATTCTAATATCAATTAAATGGCTAATTATTCAATTACGTAGCAACATGTTATTTACTGTTTAGTATCTATCCATACGATCTGGTAACTTCAAATCTCGATATCTCAACAACCGTTTGGAATTCGAGAAAAGTGATTAGAATCATTTATGCTTAAAATTGATCATAGAATTCATATACGAAGTTTCTCCGATACCTCAGCGGACACCCTGTATACACTATTGCATTCTTTGCAGTTGACTTTATAAACTCCAGAATCTTACAGATTATTTTTATTATTTTTTAAATGATGGTTTGATAACAAGTTAAGAACTGTTTTTCTATTACTATAAGCCAATGTTATATCATATTTAGCAAAGATCTTATGGGCTTCTTGAGAAGTATCATTAAAAGTAATTTGTAAATGTTGTTCTTTAAGGGTATACAAAACATCCTTAGTTATTGTAATCTTATTTAAAAGATTGTTGATTATATTGTTTGAAAAACCATTTTGTTTAGCTAAGCAATAGGTATAATTGAGTTCTTTTGATTTTCTTTTGACAATGGGTAATCCAAAGCTCTATTAATTAGGTAACGGAAACTTGCTATATTTTTTTTAAGAAATGGTGGCATAAAATTTTTTGGGGACTAATAATAGATATGTTATTATAAATGCATACGTGATTCATTATCAACTTTTCGAAAAAAAACCCTTTGCTGGAATTTCAGCGAAATGTTGCACTTGGGCTAATGACCTATAAAACGAAAAGTGGCAAGAAGATTTCTTATGTCTAAGAAAAATTCTAAGAAATGTCTAAGATTCTAAGAAAAGAACATGTAATGAGAATATTCTATACCATTCGTCTTTCAAATATAGGATCACACTGGGTGAAATATGTCAAGAAAAGAGGAAAATGCGAGCTATTTAGTTTTGAACATATTCAATTTAGACATCATTCAAAATGTAGCATGTGTAATGTTTTGTTATGTTGCAAGAAATAAAAACTGTATGGCAAAATATCATTCTGTAGAATAATTTTGTTCTATTTGCCTGAGGGTACTTTGGAGTACCACCATATTTTTTTCAAAAACAGCTAAGGAAAATTAAAAAAAAAATTATATAGTTTAAAGAGTAAACAAAGGTCGGATACAAAGGGTTAATAACTTTTAACTGAAGCCATCTTTTGCCCGACGATCGTTTTTATTTTCCATTGTAGACTCTCAGTCCACTATGTAAGCGCGTGTACTGGAAGGTTAATCTTAATTTTGTGTCAACAATTTCACCGACTTTTTATATTCGGTTTCATACTTTAATTTTTTAAGTTATAAAAATAAAAAGTTAATTACCATATTTTTAAATCCAAAATAATTATGAATGAATAACATATTTCTCCACCAATATTTTTTGCAAATATCCGAATGATGAGTAACTACAGAGTTCCATAAAGGCCCAGAATTTGTCCAAGGTAAAACGAACGTACAAAAAATAATTAAAGCAGCAAATGTGGGCAAAATTCTTAATATTCTCGAAATATATTCTTGAAAGATTTTAATCTTATTCCCCTTTTTTAATCTTCCAAATAATGAGTACGCAGATAAAGTTCCCGATATCATAATAAAGGGGTCTGTGTATAAACTGGCTGCTCTTCCAATTACAGTCCAAGCTTGACCTAAACTCTAAAAAAAAATACAAAAATATATAATTTAATATAAATTCATTAATTAAACTTACTTCTGAGGAATCTGTTCTATTTACATAAGGTAAATAAAGGAGAGCCATCGATTTATGTGCTGCTAATAGCATTATAGCGTTTAAAAATCTTATAACATGAACAGCTTCGATATCATTTTCTCCTTTGGATGTCGCAAAAACTTTCTTTATGTTTTTAAACATAGAAAAAGCAACGATTAAGTCGTTTTTAGATCCTTTATAAAATAGTTCATATAAAGTTGATAAGATTTCCAATAAAATAACAACGCCAAAAAATCCACTAAAAAAATCATAATACTTTTTTTTAATATATTAAAAATTAAAATTCATAATTTCATATACTTTTTTAACATAAATAATATCCACAGATAACATATAAATGGCACTTACACCGCAATTAATTTGTAAGAATGTTTAAATAACCTAACAACATACAATAGTAAGATTCTGCATACCAATTCTAAAATTACATATTATTGTAAGTATAAATATCCACCTAAGCATCCTGATAACAATAAATTAATATAAAAATTTAATGATAAAAACTCCGTCGCGGCAGTCCGGGTGGACCGAATAGTCTAGGAGTTGTTGTGCCGCTCTTCAGCTTGAATAAAGGAGAAGGGTTTCAAACGAAGCTACTCACAGACCCAAACGTTTTGCGTCGGAACAGCATAACACAAGTATAGAAATGGCGTCATAAAAGGAAAAATATGCAGTTCCGAATAGCTTATTGAAATATAATATCATTTAATCGAAAAAGATTACAAAATTATCGAAGACCTTAAAGAACACAAAATAGACATTTGCACTACTTCCGAAACCACGAAGAAAGGCATCAACAGATTATGAAGATTATATGCTACTACATTAAGGTAAGCCTAAGGACGTATTAATATCATTTGGTGTGCGCATATTGGTCAGTCAAAAGATCGCACATAACGTAGTTGACATAAACTTTGTGAGCGGCAGAATAATTACAGCTGAAATTCTAACAGGCACTTGTCATAATACTAGGTGATGTTGCAAAAAATACAAAAATACTAGGAATAAAGAATACATTTAATGAAAAAGACGTGAATTACATATCAACTTTTCTACTCAAAAAGAATTATAGATTAACAATACCTCCTTTGAATACAAGAACTTAACTTTTGACGACATAATAACGACCATAAAAATAAAACAGGGGAGATCATGGACGTAACAGTCTTAGCATCGGCGAATATAGGCTCTCTATATATACACATGAAACAGCAAACCAAAAGAAGTTAAACATTGAATTATTTGGAAATCAGCAAATAATTCAATTCACAACAATTAAAAACTAATATAACTAACGCAGCGGCAGAAGCACACGGGAAAAGAACCCTTAAAAATCACCTCGAGGTTATATAAAGTATGTCGAAACCGGGAACAAAGTGAATAGAATAAGACTAATAAAGTGGGAGCATTGAGAAAACTTTACTAAAGAGATGGAGAATAATATGTATGGATTATAGAAGAGAATATGTAAGATGTTGAAAGCATCAAAAAGAGAACTTAAGGAAACCGTATTTTCAGATAGAATTCTGTTGAAAAAATGGATTGAGTACACCAGAACATTATATTCAAACGCCAATGAAGTGGATATACATAAAACAGATTCAAAGGTAAAGCAGGGGACAACAATAGATGAATAGCAATTGTAGGTGCTGATGATCTTCTAAACAGTTCCTGCTCTATCGAGCAACTATTTTTTACTGTTGATGCAGGAAAAAAACTCTGTATTAATTTTGGAGTGGTTTATAGACCCTCTAATTTTAATCTTCCTCTTTTTATCGAAATACTTGAGAATTCCCTTTGTGAGAGTATTGTTATATCTCATTCAACAATTATTATGGGCGATATTAATGTTGATCTTCTTAAACCTGATTCTCCCTCAAAAACACTTCTTCACTCATTTGCAAGTTCTATTGACTTACATCAATTAGTCACCGAACCCACAAGAATTACACAAAATTCGCAAACTTTAATTGATCCAGTTTTTACAACAAATGATCAGCTGCTTACTTGTATGAATGTTGTAAATGTACCCAATATATCTGATCATGAACTAGTAAAGTGTGAGCTGGCATGTCATATCGGTAGGCCTGCTGCAATTTATCGTTCATACAGGGATGTGAAAAACATTAATTTTCCACAATTCTTGAACGATTTGAAATTAATTCCGTGGAGAAACATATATGATCAGAAAAATGTGAAAGATAAAATAACTTTTTTTAATAACTGTTTACTTACTCTGATGGATTTTCATGCACCTTTACAAACTAGACGGTTTACAAAGCCTCCCAGTCCCTGACTAATATTTAATATTAAACTTGTATCATCTCTGGTGATTCTCAACCTATACGCATAAACTTGGGGATTTAGTCCTCACGCCGAATAATGACTAATAGGTGAAAATATTTGTAGTAAAAGATTTTCTGTTTCATAGATATGAGTGGGTTCATAGACATCACAGCAAGTGTTCGAAGTTATTTCCCATATTTTCTATCAATTGGGCTCCCCGAATCCACGATCTCCCGCTAGCGAGGCCTAAAGCAGGGTGTTGGCGGATTGTCTAGGCAGCAGCATGTATCTGATTTTGCAATATTTGCTGAGCATTAACTTCCGTGGCGTACACTATGCTTTGTAAGTGACCCAAAAAGTATAAATCAAGAAGATTGAGGCCGGGCCCATCTTATCCTCTTCCAGGAAACACATTATCTAGATGTCGCCGATTATATCGAGTATCTAGGAAACTTTTACCACAATTTCTTTCATCTATTAGTCACTATTTGTAATGAGGAATAAAGCCCGCAGTTTATGCGTATAAGTTGCGCATATTTCTACTCTACAAATATGCACCTAAGCATCCTTTCAAGATAATAACAAATTAGTACAAAAATTCAATGATAAAAAGTCCGTCGCAGCAGTCCGGGGTGGACCGAATAGCATAGGAATTGTGCCGCTCTTCAGCTCGAATAAAGGAGAAGGGTTACAAGGTTAGGCTTGGTCCCTGTCTAGAGTAAAAAAACGAAACTACTCACAGATCCGAATGTTTTGCCTCTCAACAGCTTAACACAAGCATAGAAATGGCGGCATAAAAGGAAGAATATGCAGTTTCGAATATAAAATCTTCTAAATGATATAATGTCATTTAACGAAAAAGATTACAAAATTATCGAAGAACTTAAAGAACACAAAATAGACATTTGCACTATCTCCGAAACCACGAAGAAAGGCAAGGAATCAACAGATTATGAAGACTATATGCTACTACATTCCGGTAAGCCTAAGGACACACGATTATCATCTGGTGTGGGCATATAGGTCAGTTAAAAGATCGCACATAACGTAGTTAACATAAACTTTAGGAACGGCAGAAAAATTACAGCTAAAATTGGAACAGGCACTTGTCATAATACTAGGTGATGTTGCAAAAAATGCAAAAATTGCAGGAATAAAGAATAAATTTAATGAAGAAGACGTGCATTACTTATCAACTTTTCTACTCATAAAGAATTATGGATTAACAAAACCTTCATAAAGAGTATAAGAAACGAAGAGCAGAAAATCAAACTGGTCGACGAATGAAGAAACTTCGAACAGATAACGGAAGAGAGTACCTGTCAAACGAATTTAAGAAGTATCTTGAAGAAGAGGGTATAGTTCACCAACTTAGCGTCGAATATGCGCCTCAGCAAAATGGAGTCGCTGAGCGCGCGAATCGGACATTAACAGAGATGGCTCGTTGTATTTTGTTGCAAGCCAATCTCTCCCAATCATTATGGGCAGAAGCAATAAATACGGCAACTTACCTACGAAACAGAAGTGCAACGAAGTGCCTTGATGGTGTTACTCCATACGAAGTTTGGACACAATAAAAACCCTACGTTGGTTTTTTTGAGAAATATTGGTAACAAAGTAATCGCTCTCATCAAAAGTCAAAATAGAGGCAAATTCCAACCAAAAGGTGACAATTACATCCTGGTAGGCTATTCCGAAGAATCAAAGGCTTATCGATTATGGAAACCAGGAACCAAAATTGTTATTAAAGCACGCGATGTAAAGTTTTTCGAAAATACCGAGATCAATAAATCTTCATGCGACGTTCCATTCATTTCTGATGCGAACATATCAAATGAAACAAATCAAGACTCAGCCAAAGAAGAAGATGAGTGTGAACTAGAACAAGAAAATAAGAACGAGAATCACTCATCCAGAGAAGAACCAGAAACAGACGAGGAAGTATTGGATACTCCACAAAGAGGACCTGGCTAAATGACGAGGTGTACATGGAGCAGCCTGAAATGTTTATTCCCCACGGAGAAGATGCGAAAGTGTGTAAATTACTAAAACCACTTTACGGTTTGAAACAATCCGGTCGAGAGTGGTATAAAAGACTAGATGCGTACATTATGGAAAACGAAGGTGTTCGTACTCTAGCAGATCCATGTGTTTATGTATTTGGTGAAAAAGATGATCGAGTGATCATGATTATTTACGCTGATGATCTGATTTTGATGTCAAAAAAGATTGAGTCCATAGAAAATGTCAAACGAAAGACGAAGTCAACATTTAAAATGGTGGATCTAGGACCAAGCAACAATATCTTGGGAATTAACGTTCATCGAGACCACGCCACTGGGAAGATTAATCTCTCTCAGAAGAAGTATGTAATGGAACTTTTGGAAAAGTTTAACATGGAACAGGCCAAACCTGTGTCAACCCCAATAGAGTCCAACTTGAAAATAACCAAGAAAATGGCTCGTGTTGGAAGATATTTACGTTTGTAATCGCCATGTGCGTTAAGTCGACGAGACATATTTACCGGTTTCGAACGGATCGGACGTTACGAACAAGTTCAGTCTTATTCCAATACCTCGAACCGACCACATGTATATCGTTCTACGACCATATCACTGCACAACAAAAAGTGCAACTAATATAAAGAATTATAACGGAATTATTCTTCTAAATAGCTTGCTGAAACTCTTCACTTGACTCTTGAGTCAACATATCACTAATAAAACTCAAATTAGTGAAGAACAACGAAGTTTTAGGAAAAATCGTTGAAGCCATTTTCATTATCAGACAGGTGGTAAAACAATAGATTATAACAAACCTGCTTTCCTCTATTGTTGATCTAACCAAACTGTTCGCCAGAGTGCGGATAAAAGAATTACAACGCCACAACCTACATAAAACAAGTGGATATAGTAGAATAAGAAATGGCAGATGGGTACTCGACAAGGCGACAGCTTCAGCCCTATGTTGTTTAATTTGTTTATGGATAGAATAATAGTCAAAGTATGTGAAGGATCTGTGGTTACACAATGAGTGGACGAAAAATTAAGATTGTATGCTATGCAGATGATACTGTCCTACTGGCTGATATTGAGACACAGGTTGAACTTAATGATCTATCTAAAGATCTGAGCGTTTCGAATAATGATCCCGCCGAACAAGTTACAATTGACAAACCTCTCGGGGAAATAGAAATCTTTACAGTTTCTGAAATAACAGTCTTTCAGACTTCAACAAGTTATTGAATGGTATAGCTTCGTTTACCAGAATTTTTTCTGACAGGACATCATTAAGGACAATAATAAATAATATCAGTTAAGTGCTTATCTGTGGTTACAATAATTATTCTGTATCATTAATTGATATCATTTTTCGTTTTTGTTGCAAATAAAGACTTGTGTACCATACAAGTTAGTGTTGTTTAATGTACATTATATTTTAGAATCTACAAAATCCCTAAGAACCGTATCCGTACTTTTAAAATCGAATACACAATTTCCAATGTAGAAAATTCACAAACAACAGTTGGTGTGAAGTGCCTAATTTAAAAAAAAAAAGACGTTTACATAATATTTATAAATTTTGATATTTTCCAGCTTGCAGATTCAGAAAAGTTGACAAAATCGTGACAACGTTTCCTTATAGATTCGATTTTTTGATCAGTTTTTTTAGGTATTATATGAAAATAGGAATAATATAGTCAAAAAAGATACTTACAATCCAATTTTAGTGCTTAAATTCCAATTTTCCACTCTTGAACTTTGACACATTTCCTCATCTAATCTCATATCAAATTCAAAATCAGTTCCATTAAAAATATATTTCAATCCTTCTCTAACTCCCAATTCAACATCTTTGTTACTACAACCATCAGGTATACAAAGACCCCACTGTATGCTGGAATATCTTGGAACCCTGTGACCCGGCTACAATCTTAAGCGGTATAAAGCGGTATTTTAAATATATTATTTCAAAGCGATACAACACTTACATCTCTCAGGTTGCTTCTTAATAAATTATGGGAATGGATTAATTTGTGCAAGGCGGAAAAATAAGGGCTATTAGGAACTGTAAATTGGACGTTAGGGAGACAGTATTTTCCATAAATATCGTCAGTCGGATTTGAAGATTTCATGCAAAGATCGAAATCGCCAAATTGGATTACGTTTCCGCTTAGAATTCCTGATGGAAGTTTTGCTGAAGCGTCGTACACTGAAAAAGGAATAATTTTAATAAAGGAGAAAAATTAATTTTTGTTAAATGAGAGCATTATTTCCTTCATAAGTGATAGGCACAGTCAATCGTTTTCAGCATTAACGTTATGTTCAAATAAAATTTCAAAACGTTCACGGCAAAGGAAATTGAAATATGAGATAGGAACATGGAGTGTGCATCGAATAAACTAGGAGCACAAATGGTACTGATTGAAGCTCTACAAAGGTGTAACATGGCAAAAACAGCAGTTTTGAAATCAAAATGGATAAGACGGATGGCAAGGAAGTAGGAATGAAAGAATGGTGTAGCATTTATCGTGGATAACAAAATCAAATCCAGTATTTTAAACTTCCACCCAGTAAGCAATCGAATATGCACTCTACGAGTTAAAACAAAATTTTTCAATCTAACTAGAATGACTATACATTGTCCAACTGAAGAAAAGACCTAGAAATGAAAAAAACATTCTCTCAAGAACAGGAATTAGTGTATAACTCTTTCCCTACAAATGTCTAAATAATCATTGGAAACATGCATACAAAAACAGGAAAGGAAGGTGAATATTTAGTTATTTAGAAACAATAAGAAGACATAGCCTCCATAATAGAACCACTGAAAACGATGAAAATAACCAAATAGTATTGTGGATAACTAGCAAAAATCGTTGAAGAGGGCAGTTATACTCCAGAACAAATATTTAATGCCGACGAAACGGGATTGTTTCGGAAGAAAATGCGCGAAAGGACTTACATAGCAAAATCTGAAAAATCAGCTGGTGGTTTTAAAGCGGCCAAAGATCGAGTGACGTTCTTGTTATGTAGTAACGCATCTGGTGATAAAATGTTAAAGCCTTTGTTAATCAACAAATCTCTTATGCCACGAGCATTAAGAGGTAAGAACATTAAACAACTTCCATTTCACGTCCATTTCATGGCGAATAAAAAGGCATGGATGACGGCTGATCTGTTTACAAATTGAAAAAGGTTTGGAATTCAAAATACTTTTGCTCGTTGATAATGCGCCCAGCCACCCAGTGTTGGATCATCTAAATATTCAATTACTATTTTTACCGCCTAATACTACCTCGCTGATTCAGCTACTCGATCAGGGCATTATAGCAACATTTAAAATGTACTACATAAAGCAAACGAAGTTTACGATTATCGATTGCATTACACTTGTTTCTGTGACCATTAAACAATTGCGCCAATCAACCTTAAATGCTTGTTGGAAAAAAATATTGGCAGCATGCGTCAAAAGTGGAACTTTTGTAGTAGAAAAATCAGCTGTGTGTTCTGCAATTATAACTCTATCAAATACAATTGGTGACAACGGTTTTAACAACATTCAAACGGCTGATATTGATGAATTGATGCGAGAAAGCCCTTTGGATGAAGATGATTTGATGGAATTTATGACAATTTGTGAAAATAAAGAAATCGAACAGCTAATTTAATTCGCGATGGCTTGAAGTACAAGTATGGAACAACATTTTCTTACTCATGATCCTGACATGGAGCGTGCATTGAAATTTCAACGTAGTCTTAAGTTATGTGTAGCTGGATATGAAGACTTATATAAGCATATTGAGAAACCAAATAACCGACTTCACAACTACAAAAAAAAAACAACAGAGACCGTTAATAACGAACGAAATCCTTCATTTGAATTAAATCCGACAGTTGTGCTAGACATATTCGACATATCTACTGATGATGCTGATGATAGCGCTTTTGGTCAAGTCCGTAATAAACGTGCACGTTTGTTATCAAGTAGCGATGCAGACTTGCGAAATTGATTTTTATTTCTAATTTTAGTTTACATTTTTATTGTTATATTGAAGTTTTGACTGTACACTATTTTTTTTTAAACTAATAAATAGCTTTTCTTTTATAAATATGTAATATACATTTTATTATAATTTTTTTACACGATTTTCTTTTGCTCGGTTTTCTAAGGAACGTATCTACCGTGTAAAAAAAGAGTTTGGTGCACTTTAAACAAGAAAAACTTAACATAGGCAACCTAAATAACACAGAACTTCGAGAAAGGTGAACTATAGATGAAGTAGTGGAAATAACCTCGAAAAGAAACAGCACCATGAATCAGCAATGGAATCAAATTAAAACAGTTACACTTGGCAAAAAGAAACAGGATACAAAAGTATGGTTCTACAAAGAAAGCAGGGACAACAAAACTGTAAAAATTTGAAGCTTACATCAAATATGTGGAACGACCAACGTGAGATAGGGTAAATATCTATAAAGGAGCTCGCAAGAAAGCGGACAAGATTTGAAGGAGAAATAAAAAACAATGGGAAGTAATGAAGTACCAATTAAGGAGTTGGAATTCAAAAGCAACTATACAAGAAACACCTATCAATACATACAGAAACAAAGACAGAGATTTAACCCTCACACCACACTATGCAGTAGTAAATGAGAAGGAGTACTCAGAAGATGAAGTATGGGAATAACAAAGACATGAACTAATTAAATAACTGCGTTAAAAAATGGGAAAACACCACGCATTGATGATATTCTCTAAGAACTGTTTAGAACGGAAAATGAAAATCTCAAGGCAATTTAACATGTATTGATTAAAAAGACATGGGACATACTCAATATACAAAAAAAAATACAAACTGCTTGTCGAAACTATCAGAATATGAAGTATTTTGTACGTACATGCTAAACCAACGACTCCATCTACAACCAGAAAAGATTATAGGCGAATATCAAACCGGATGTAGGAGAGGAAAATCCACAATCAATAAAATTTTTACCGTCAAACAAATTGTAGGGAATGGATGAAAATTTCTCTATTCTTGGCATAATAGTTTCTATTGCCTCTATTATGTTTCTTATTTTTTGATTTGATATGAGTTGTAATCTGAAGACTCAGCCACTTCTTCGTATGTAGTCCTCGTATCTTCACAACTATTATTTTTCTTTTGTCCACTCTTTCAGGACCCATATTTCACTTTCATATCCCAAAATCGATTTGGTCGTTCCTTTCCTTTTCTTATTTTATATAGTTATATTTTTATCCCTTGAGGGGCGAAGAGAGTATTTGTTAATTTCAGATTGAATTAATTACACACTTCTGTGTCTTCTACGTACCTTCCCAGTGTAGTATTATTAATTTGAAATTTAACTCTCACATTCAAGTTCCCAATCACTCTGATGTCATAAGACAAGTTGATATTACTAATAGTGTTAGTAAGGTCTTCATAAAACTGATATTTTGCAATGATATCCAGGTTGTATCTATACATTCTTAATTTTAGGAGGGTTATTCCATCCATTAGATCTGTCATAAATCTTTTACTCCTATTTTGAATAACCACCGACACCCCTGAACAATCCTATTTCAGACCCTATGTGTGTAAATACCTAAATCTTTATTTTCGGTGCTCTTCTTCTTCGGTTCCATAGATAGAGAAGAACGGACGTAAAAATGCTTTGCCCTATATCGATGTGCGAAATATCAAATCTTTTGGATCTATAGTTTCACTATAAAACCTTATGTTTCACTTCCTGTAGATAGCTTGATATCTATCTTATAAGATGTGATATATAAACACTACTATGTTTTCTTTGCACTTAACACGAATCATTTTATTTTAAATGCAAAAATTAAAGGCGAAATTTTTAATATTGCATAGTAATATAAAAAATGTAATAAACAAATACATTCCAATATAAGAATGTTGTAAAGCTTTCAATTGGTCCAACAGTAAGGAAAACAGATGTATAAAATTGCTGTAATAGAATATAATTAAAAAAGCAGTGGATGTAATTAGGAATTCAAGAACAACATGAAAACGGCTAGAAACAGCTATCGACGGAAAACAGATATAAACTTAATGAAGTGAATATGTTATGCCATGGTTATAAAAGTGTTTAAATAAATTATAAAGTAAGATTATGGTGGAGGTGCCGCTTTATTATCACTTTTCGTAAAATTTGAAAATTTTAAATTACGAAGTAGTATTACTTATTTTATGTCAGTTGGTGTCGATAATAATTATTAAATTTGTTAATGCAATTGTGTACAATTAAATTAAATTTTGTATTTTTTAATTGTTACCTATTATAACTTAATTTGTACAGGTTATTGTGTGTAATAGAAAACGCGTAAAATCTGTGTACGAACATATAAATGTTTCTTTTGGACAATAAAAAATCGAAAATCATAAAAAGGTTACAATTATGTGTACATTATCACTTTAATGACATTAACAACATAAAAAGTAAATTTAACAACCGGAGATAATCTGTGGATAATCACCGTCGAAAATATCTATTGTCACTCAATTAAATGAATTAATAATTTGCAACATGTCCTTATAAACAAAATAAAAAATCTATATGGTAACCACAAGGTCTTCAAAACTACTTATTATTCATATTATTTGCAAATGTTGTCCTTAATTATGAACAGGGACGACGGTTAAAACGATTTAAAAGGGAACAAGGAAACCGAAAACGTTTCAATTAAAAAAACAATTCAAATAAATAAATTCACTTACTTTGTAAAGCCCAAAACTTGAAATTGTTAAGGTCATCAATAAACTTCCTGCTTGAGATTTTACATCGTTCACTAACACCTTCAACTTTACTAAGGTCGAATGGTGGACTTCTATTTAAAAGGAATCTTGTTAATTGATCTGCAGCAGGTTTGTAATCGCCATCTAAAAAAATTTTAAAAATTATAAACAACTTTGTTAAGAAATCATTAATAATTATGGTTGCTTCCTTCAAAATCGAAAATTACTATTTAATATTACACATTTAGAGTTGTTAATTTACGTTCTTAACGTGTTGTCGTCGCGTGTTGCAATAGTTATACAAATCCTACGTTATTATTTCGTTCACGGTTTCGTTTACCCTTGAGAACGTAAAAAATGGACAGGAAAATGTTTTATAGATATGAGTCTGTGCTTTATGTGGAATTAATTACTAATGTTAAACATGTTTAAACTGTTATTTGTTTATGGAGTTCATTCTAAAAACGATTCAAGTTAATTCTTAGTAAAGATTGACTATCTTACAAAGAATTTATTGAGTCTTATACGAAAATTTTTGGAGATTTATTTGTGGACGACGATTCATAATTTTTAATTTATTTAGCACGTTTTTATTGGATTTAACATTCATTTGTGAACCTAAAATGATGTTTATATTATTTATGTAAATATTGTGTAACCGATAAAATTTATTGTTAACGTTTCTTTTAGTTGATATTTTTAAGAGTTAAATTACAGAAATGACCTACACTCAAAGTGTTCACGCATTTATATGACACTAATACATATAAATGTATTTACTATCTATCGGTAGAAAATTAATTAACAAAGAACGTTTATGTAAATCAGTTGAAATATAACATCTATAATTAGTTTTCTATAATTAGGACAGCATTTAATTAAGTTTTCTTAAACTATTTTAATTGAATCCTATTTTTAAGCATCAACAAGAGCTTCAAAGAATACTCAAAGGTTAAAATTTTCTTTAAAAATCACCCAGAAAACGCAGTAAAAGGGGAAGTAATAATTAAAGAAAAAAACACATCATTTTGATGATGTTAAAAATGAAGTAAAAGATATTTAAGCCACAGCTATAACTCAAAACCAAAAATGGTAGTATAACTGTGGTCAGTTTATATAGTCGTCCTAAATATAGTATCAAATGAGAAAGATAAAAACAGTTCGTTCAAGTCATAGATAATCGATTTATGTTTAATCATCGTAGGTGGTGGTTACATGCAATACATCCACTAGAAATCGAGATTAATCACCACTAAAGGTAGAGAATTGCTAAAGGCTGTTCGAACGCAAGGACGTGAAACAATATCAACAGGCAAATCTACCTATTGGCCAACAGAGCCAGATAAGACCCCACACCTGATGGATTTCTACATCAGCAAAAATGTGTCGAACAAATGCAAATCGAAAACAACCTTGAGCTAAACTCGATTCAAGCACCGATTGTGTTAACTGTAAGTAAATATCTCATAATCGAGCAATTTCCATCTGGTCAACAAACAAAATCTGATTGGGAAAGCTTCGAAATAACGTTAGAAGAATTACTCTGGCAGTCCCATTGAAAACAGAACAATAAGTGGATTCTAAGGTGGAGAAGCTGATCAAAAATATCCAGTGGCAAAACACCCTAGAAATGAGAAGAAAGCATAAAGGCAATAACTACTCTAAAGAAATCCCAGAACTGATGTCATAAAGAAAATGGACAAACTCACAACTCAACAGAAATTACCTAAAATAGTTCAAAAATAACACCTAAACATAAAGTTGTTGGCTGAAACAACGAAGAAAATGCTTCAAGATTCGCAAACTATCTAGAAAAGATATTTCAATCTAATCTAGTGAACAATGCTGGCTCACTACCAGTGATGTTTTCCTGCTCTAGTAGAGTAAGACCACTCGCCTCTCTTGCTGATGTCAAAAAATGAAGTCAAAACAATATTAACCCGAAGAAAGCTCCTGGTTTCGACATATTAACCAGCCCTATCTTGAATGAGCTTCCAAGAAAAGCAATAGTTATAATAACTAACCTGTCTAATGTTTCATTCCGACTACAATATGTGCCATAGCTGTAGAAGATGGCTGCTATGATCCCTACCCGAGAAATCACCTTACGTTACAACATCTTATTGGCCAATATCTCTACTTCCGATAATGTCCAAACTATTTGAATAATAATTACTTAAAAGATTAAGGTTAATCATTGAACAAAAAAACATGATCTCGGATCATCAATTTGGATTTAGAAATCAACATTCTACGATTGATCAGGTCCCAAGAAAAACACACATATCATCAAAATGTCACTTGAATAAAACAAAATTTACTTAGCGATATACCTGAATGACGAGCTTTCGACAAAGTATGGTATGAAGGGTTGAACCCCTTCATACCATAAGCTTGAAAAGCTGCTTCATGTACACGGTATATTAAATTAAACAAATATACAGCTAAATATCTTAGCATGATTCTCAACCTTGTGCTTAGGGCTTGCTATACCGGGATGCCGGGATCCCGAAAACCGGGATCCCGGACAATTTTTGTCCGGTATTATAAACCGGTATTGATGGCAAGATACCGGTATTTTGGTATTATTTTTATTTAGCGCCCTCGATGGCCGGGGGCGGCCGATGTCTTTGAAAACCGCCGTGCTAGTTTGATGTTGTGCTGGAAAATGACGTAGAGGATTCGTGTTTGTTATCTATTTTCTGTCCGTTCTAAGTTTACATTTTCAAGTGACATTTTTTGACGTTTCATTAAAAAAATGCTAGCCGGAAGCGACCGATTGAAAACGGCCGTGTTTGTTTAAAGCTGTGCTGGAAAATGATGTTGACCAAACAGAAATTTGTTATCTATCTTATGTCCGTACTAACCTCATTTTTTCAAGTGATATTTTTTGATCAGTGGGAATACCATCTACAAGAAATATCATTTTGTACTCTGACAGAATGTTGAAGATAACGAGGACTCAACCTTTGATGACGACAACTTAATCTTCGTGTATAATAAATTTGTCATACCTAACTAACAATAAAATAGTCTCTGCATACAACTATTTTTGGAGTTTTTACTCCATAATGGTGTTTCAGGTCAGTTTGATTCGTGTAATGTCCCACTAAGTATAACAGTAGTATCATAAGTCTGACAAACTACCAAGAGCCATTATGTTAAAGTTTCTTTCTTAAATCTGCACCTTTCCAGAAAATTCCAAAACAGGAATTCGAAAGAATTTCACAGAGCTTCAGATGATGAAGTGTAATTTCATTTTTTGACGCGGCAGTGAACTTGGACCTTTGGACCAAGTGAAAGACAACAAAACAATAATGGTATCCAGACCTTTAAGTTTATTGGTACTTTGTACAGATTCCTAATATGTTAAAATTATTATATAAATCCATTTTCATCGATATTATTTAAGGTAAATTAAATAAATATTACTTTCTATTTTATTGTTAATCGCGTACCGTAATCCCCGTAGCACTAATTGGGATCTGTTTAAGAGTTGCCTTGCAGATAACCTAACTAGTGTTATCGCAACCGTTAGGAACTGTGATCAGGTTGAAATAGCCACGGAGCAGATCTCTGTGGCAATTCGCTCTGCATATCACAGTAGCAGTCCACTGAAGGTGAAAAGTAGTAATCGGGGCACACCCTGGTGGAACGAATCTCTTAGCTCCGAAAGACAAGAGGTCCGAAAGCTTTTCAACCGGGCCAAGACATTAGGTGAATGAGAGAAATATAAACAGGCTCTAACGAATTACACCAAAAACATACGTAAGGCAAAAAGAGAGTCTTGGTGGAGGTTCTGTGAGGGAGTGAAAGACACACCCAGCAGTGCAAGAATTCACAAGATTCTCGCTAGAGATCCGGCACTACCCCTGGGCTCACTTAGGCGGCCTGACGGTAGTTTTACGGACTCTAGCAGAGCCTCGTTGGAGCTTCTAATGCAGACTCACTTCCCAGGAAGCCTGATGATGAGGGCCGATAATGCCACAGCGGGCTATTCCTGCAAGGCAAAGCGTCCCTCAAATACGGAATGGAGTGAGGCTAGAAAAGTCGTCACTTACACATCCGTGGACCAGGCAATTCAAACGTTTAAGCCGTTCAAATCGCCTGGAGAAGACAATATATTTCCTGCTTTGTTATAGCAGGGGAGGTCTTTGTTGTTGCCAATTTTGGTAAAAATTTTCAGAGCGAGTGTCGCCTGGAAATATGTGCCGGCAGAATGGACTAAGGTACGGGTATCTTACATACCCAAAGCGGGTCGTTCGGTCTCTACTTCTAATGCCTTTCGACCCATCAGCCTAACGTCATTTCTGCTGAAAACCCTTGAAAAAGTTCTGGAACGGTATATCCGTACGGTGCCATTGGTATCTGGTCCACTGAGTCGCTACCAGTATGCTTATCAAGCGGGAAAATCAGCAGAATTGGCTCTACACAACTTAGTTGGTAGAGTATCCAGGACGCTGCAGGATAAAGAAATCTGGTTTGTGCGTTTCTGGATATAGAGGGAGCGTTCAACAACGCAATACCACAATCTCTTGAAAGAGCTGCTCTTGACAGAGGAGTGGAAGCAACTATAGCGGGTTGGGTCCGCAATATGTTAAATAGTAGAATAGTTTCTACTTCACTCCACGGTGATACGATACGCTTCAGGACGGGAGGTGGCTGCCCGCAGGGAGGGGTGTTATCTCCCCTGCTTTGGTCCCTCCTAGTTGACGATCTAATTCCGATAGTCGAAGCCGTTAGTGTGGAAATACAAGCTTATGCTGATGACATTGTCGTTATGGTCAAAGGAACCTGTTTGCCGAGGATATCTAAAGTCCTCCAGGTGACCCTAGATACTATTTGCGCTTGGTGTAAGGGAGAGAACCTCTCAATAAACCCGCAAAAGACAATTGTTGTGCCCTTCACCAGGAAGCGAAAGTTGGATGGACTAATCCGCCCAACTATCCAAGGTGAAGAAATTCCTTTCTCAAAGGAAGTCAAATATCTAGGAGTAATCCTAGACAAAACCCTGTCATGGAATCGACATTTGCAGGGAGTTTTGTACAAAGCTAGACTATCCTTGTGGACTTGTCGCAGTCTTTGTGGAAAAAATTGGGGTCTTACCCCTGAAAGACTGTACTGGCTCTATGTGACTGTGGTTA